CCTCCCGCCAGGCACAACCCGGAGCAGGGTGTCACAGCCAAGGGCCTGCTCGAGTTTGTTTTTGGAGTGGGGTGGTTTGCTTTAACATCCCATAATAGTGTCTAGGAGGGGCTCAACTCTCGTTTAAAGTCTGTATGATAGTTATAAAATATACGTTTCCATTTTCTATTAAATAAGGCTACGTCTACACTGGCGGCTTCTCGTGCAAAAACTTGCCGGGTGTCTACACTGCACGCACATTCTTGCACAAGTAAAGTTACAGGCTAGCGTTGGAAAACGGGGCTTTTTCTGGAAGAGTTATTCCTCTCCCCACGAGGAATAAGCCCTCTTGCACAAGAGGGCAGTGTAGAGAGGCAACATGAATTTCTTGCACAAGAAACCCCTATGGCTAAAATGAGCTTTCTTGTGCAAGAAAGCATCCACACTGCCATAGACGCTCTTGCCTAAAAGCACATGCTAGTGTAGACGCGCTCTTGTGGAAGACTTTTTGCGGAAGAAGTCTTACGCAAAACAGTTTTTGCGTAAAAAGCTGCCAGTATAGATTCAGCCTAAGAGTTTTCCACAAGGGAAGACTAAAGAGAATAACCAGCTTGTGTATATATTCACAGGTATTTCCTTGACACCGAAGAAAGCTCATCCTACACCGCAGGGAAATGTTCTGTTAGAACACAAAGAATGGTGCTAAGTATTTTAGATGTTGAGTCCAGTAGCACCTTTTTGCTGGAGGAGAACTGTACAGTGCCTTCAGATAAGCAACCTCACAACTGAACCACTGGCATTATTGCCCAATGAATATAAGAATATGAGACCAGCCATACTGGGTCAGACCAAAGATCCATCTAGCTCAGTATCGTGCCTGCCGACATTGTGCTCACTAAGAAGGTATTATTATTCTTACTAATATTATTTATTCTCTTATTCTGCTGTTTGAGTTGTGATATTCCTTGACAGATGGCACTATTCAGTACAAGAGGCACATTTCTGGAGGAGGATCTGAAGCTGGGAAATTGTTGGTGGCTCCCTGGATGAAATTCATGAGTGGCTGGCCAAAGCATTCACATAATTCAGCTGAGAGTTATTTACATGTTGGAGGCTGTGTGAGAGCAGGACCAGGAGTGGTTGCACTCACAGCAAATTAGTGTAAAAGGCAGGGAGTACTATTTGGGTGGAGGAGACTTTTGCTTGACAAAAGAGACAACTAAGGTGGGATATGGGATAGGTATATAATATCATGACAACTGTGGATAATGTGAATAAGGAATGTAAATTCTCATAACACAACAGCTAGGGGTTGCCAATGAAATAAATAGCAGGTTTAAAATAAAAGGAAGTATTTCTTCACACAATGCACAATCAGCCTGTGGACCTCTTTGCTGCAAGATGTTGTGAAGGCCAAGGCGCTAACAGGGTTAAAAAAAAGAACTAAACTTCATTGAGGGTAGGTCTACCAATGGTTATTCACAAAGGTGGGAAGGGATAGTGTTCCCAGCCTGTTTTCCAGAAACTGGGACTGGACTACTATATAAGGAGAGATTAAAAAGACAGGGAATTTTCAGGCTGGAAAAGACATGATTAAGGAAGAATTCATAAGAGATTATTAAATTGTGAATGGTGTGGAAATAGTAAATAAGGAAACGTTATTTATAGAGGTCACACAATGCAATTAATGGGTAGCAGATTTGAAACAAAGTATTTTTTCCACAGTCCATCTGTGGAATTCTGTGCCAGGAGCTGTTGTGAAAGCCAAAACTCTAATAGGTTTACAAAAGAACAATGTAAGTTCCTGGAGATTAGAGCCATCAAGGGCTATTAGCCAGGGTGGATAGGGATGCAACACCATGTTCTTCATGGCACTAGTCTGCCAGAAGTGGGGAATGGACAACAAGGGATGAATCATGATGAGTGCCTGTGCTGTTCATTCACCCTGAAGTATCTGGTATTGGCCACTGTTCAAAGATAGGATACTGGGATAGATGGACCATTCGTCTTGGCCATGCTGATGTTCTTATATATAAGTCTAACTTATCTGCTCCCTGCTGTAGCCCACTGGACTCCATTTCCTTCTCAGAGCTGAGCTAGAACCCAAAAGTCCTAACAGGCTCGGCCTCTCTCCACTGAGTTATAACAAAGTAAAAATATACATTTAAATTTTAAACTTAACCTGTGTCCCTTGCTTAAGTGACTTGACAGATGTCAGAACATGTTAGTATTAGGCTGGAGACGGTGTTGCACTCGGGACCAGGGTCCAAGTTGCTGGCACCAGGGCGGGGCAATGGTGCCCTCTCACTTCTGGGGTTGGGGCACGGACAGAGTCGTCTGGACTCAGGCTTCTTCCCCCAGCCTGGTACCGAAGTCAAGAAAGAGTTTAATCCAATGTCTTGCTGCCTCAAAGGTATCCAGAGTGGAGGGCTCTGGGAAGTCCCCCGCTGGGCTGGAGTCTCAGCACAGACTAGAGCAGTGCCAACCGGACCACAGTGTTCCAGGTGCAGCACTCACTGGTGCCGTGTGCCCCACTTGAGGGTGCATGGAGGGCACGTGCCTTGAAGGAGACCTGCCCCTGCTAGGTCTCTTCTTCTAGGGCACCGGGGATTGGCAACTGGTGCCGAGGCCTACGTGGCACTGGGGAGGTATGCAAGTGGCTGGGTGCCCCCATAGCTAGTGCACTCTAAGTTGCTGGTGTCAAATCGGATGCCGGTGCCGGACATAAAGCCACCTTCATAAGGATAATCTTCAAGTGGGACCCCCTTTCTTGCTTGAGGCACAGCTTGAGGGCCTTGCAGATTTTACAGGCCTTGGACAAGTGGGCCTCTCTGGGGCACTTAAGGCAGGCTGCATGAGGGTTTCTGCAGGGCATAGGCTTCTGGCACTTTTCACAGGGCTTGAAGCCAGATGGGCAGGGGATGCAAAGCGAGCCCCGAGCCTGCGTACTTAACACTAAGCACAACACTTAACTAATAAAAACTTAGATAAGAACAATGAACTGTGAAACTAACAAGAGAATGAGAAAGGCGCCTGCAGAGCAAGAGCAAAGCGCATCCAACATCACAAACGGTAAGAAGGAACTGACAGGGTGGAAGGCCAGCATAGGTATATATTAGCTAAAATTAGCAGCACCACTCCAGGGGGCTCCCGTTGGCCCAATGGGTACCATTAGGGAAAAACGTCTGACTACGTGTGCACACACCTTCATGCAATGGACATGAAAACGAGTAATCACTCGACGAATGGTAATTTCTCCTAGTAGTATGGCTTGCAGTCACATGCACACAGAACCTACTGCCTTCCAGGACACAGGAAGCCGATCACGGTCTTAAAAAGGCCTAATGAGGGATCGGGAGCAGTGCTGGAAAACTGGCTGCTTGGGTGCCGAACAATGGTGCCGAGGGTGCAGTACTGAGTCCTTTCTCTGCACCATATTGGAATCTGCCCAAGGGGCCTTTCACACTGAGACACCCAGTGTCAGGTCCTGCTTCGGCCGGGGATGGACTGCCGACTCCATAAGTAGCTGATTGAAGCCAAAGTCTCACTCCCTTCTGGACCGATTATTAAAACTCGTGCAGATCATACACTTCGCAGACTGGTGATCCTCCACCAGATACTGAAGACATTGCGGGGGTTGCTTGTGGGCATAGGCTTTGAGCAGGAACCACAGGGCTCGAATCTCTGAGACTTGGGGATACCCTAAGTCCCAGAGGGGACACAGGCAGGAAAGGCAGAGACCCTTCATGCACTCTGCTAACAAAACTATAACTAATTAAGGTTTATTAACACTAAGTAGGGGAAAAGGAACACTAAGGATGAGTGGAGCGCTTGCTAAGCAAGAGAACCCGCTGTTCCAACAACTGTCACTGGCATTAAGATGGAACTGAAGTGGGGGATGGGGGGTTGGATCAGCAGAGTCATCTATAGAGCACCATACTGGTGCCATATCAGGGGATTTCACAGCTGACCCAATAGATGTCTGTTAGGGCAAACTTCCAACAGCTGCAAGCACAGTGCACACAAATACCTGTTTGGAATTGATATGAGCAAGCCCTTGAAGGACAGAATATATATGACAGAGCATGCACCTCCAGTAACATTGTATGTGTACCATAGTGCTGTATTTATAAAATGAAACACTTCTCTTAGCTGCCCCCACCAATAACACCAAAACATTGATTACACAATACCACAAAGTTAAAAAATATTTAATTTCATGCACAGAGGGTGGGGGAAAGCATTTACAGAATTTTACAAAGTACACTCGAGAACGTATCCTGCTTTCCAAACCTGCAGTATTAGCTTCTGTTTCATATGGGCTGTCTTTTCTAAAGTAGAAGTGATTTTGAGATTCCTGATGAACAGATACTACAGTGAGTATCTGTGTGTTTCCAGGCAAGGGTACCACTAGTGACTACATCTTGGATCAGATTAATGAAGAGGCAGAAAGTTGCAAATGCATTTCATCATAGCCCGTGGGCCTCCTGAAGCATTTCCTTTCTAACACTGGCCCCAATCCTGCACACACTTAAAACATGTAGCATTAGGCTCACGAGAGGCCTCATTTAATGGAATTACTTACATGTGTAAAATTACTCAAGGTGCCAATTCAACACAACACTTAAGCATGTGCTTAATGTAAAGTATGAGAGTAGTTTGGCTGATTTGAGAATTATGGGGCATGAATAGCCACCCACCCCACAGCTGGAGAATGGGGGTCTTTGTCTCCCTTTAGTGGCAGGTACACAAAAGAGGATGAAAGTCTACTACAACGGACTGCCAACTAGAGTTACCACTTCAGCTCATGCATTTACTAGCGATGTTAACACGAGTTCAAATTTTGTTAATAGCCCATGTGGAGGGGGTCAATATATTTGTAGGATCAGGGCCTAGCTCATCGGATAAGGAAGAAGAATTCTGTTGCATTATCCGGGGTTACAAAAATCGATGATTTTTTTCCCCCCAGTGAATAAACCACCGCTGTTTGATCGTAGTTGTCAGCATTAACATTTAGTAGCCTGCTTCACCTCCTTACTCCCTCCCTGGAGCAGGGGGGAAGGGAATGGCTAAGTTTTGACTCCCTCCTTCCATTACTCTCTAGACAGAGCAGCTGCACCAGCACAGGTAGAAGGCTGTGTACAGTCATTTACTGTAGGTGTGGGTCTACAGAAATCACTGTCAGTCAGGAGCAAGGGAGAAGCAAGGAGCAACTGTGTCTCAGCATTGGGTTACTAAGGCTATGTCTACACTACAGAGCTTTTTTCCAAAAAAAACTTCACTCACGTCCACACTACAATCGCGTTTTTTCGACAAAAAAAAATTCTAAAGAACAGAGGACTTTTTCCGACATTGATAAACATCTTTCTACAAAGAAGCCTTTTCCCAAAAGAGCTCTTTTTAAAAAAGGCATGTGTGGACGGGGAAGAGGGAGTTCTTTCGAAAGAAGAGGAAAAGAGGAAAAAGCACAGGTGCCCCAGTGGCCACTCCATCCATAGTATTCACACCTTAAATGCGAGCTAGCGTACATTTGGTGTGGACGCTCTTTCAAAAAAGCAGATCGCTTTTTCGATGTGCTTTTGCTGTGTCGACATGTTCTTTTAGAATAAGTTTTTTCGGAAGATCTCTTCCAGAAAAGCACCTTCTCTGAAAGAAGACTGCAGTCTAGACATAGCCTAAGCCTAAGCCTAAGCCTTCCAGATCTTCTGCTGGGAACATGCACATGATATACCAGCCTTTGCTCACAGCTGTTTCTCAAGTCAGAGTCTAGCCTTTGAAGAAGGGCTGGTTTGGAAAATACATGCATGGAAGGAGGCAGGCATATATTGAACGAAGAGGCTGAAGTAATTGGACCACCTTCAGATTCGCAGCAAAAGCATAACAGAACAGAATTTGCTCCCAACACATTTAAACACAACTGTAGATACAATGTCTCAATTCTGGTCCTCATATGGGCTGTGCGATCCTCTATTCCCAAACACCACCCTGTGTGGTGCTTCCTTGTCTAGTAAAGCCTAGTTTCCCAGCTCATCCAATAACCCTAACTGGACCAGTGCATATAGAGCAAGGTGGGACATACCATACTGCAGGAATGGCCAAGCATTAGACAGAGTGATGCAAACAAATTTCAAGTCTCAGACCTTAAATACATTATTTCTAGCAAAACCCAGTAATCTCTGGCTTAAATAGTCTTTCATTAGGTTTTTTTTTCCAAGAATAAAAAAAAAAATAGAGCTGTCGCCGCAGGTTGAATCATACAAGGCCTCTGGTTCCAATTATGGCCTCAATCTTACCCTCCACGAGACAGCTTTCTACATCCCACTCTGTTTTCTTATGTACAACTTGCTGGCTAATGATATTTGGCCTGGTGTGAAGGAATTATACAGATGTATAGGCTACAATATAAAGTTTGATGATATACAATATCACACTTGAGCCTTTTCCCTAGATAAGGAAAAAATTACAATACATAGACATGACACAGTATTGATAATATTGCAAAAAAGAGCAAGAGTTGATACGAGCGAAATGCTTCTACTATACATAAGATCAATGTACTTTCCAATACACAACATGTAAAAAAAATGTATATGGAATCCTATTACATTCTCTGTCCCTTGTTATATTTTTATACAGCAAAACACTGCAAGGGCGTTTTAAAAAGGCATAGGCACCTGAGGAGCGGTTTTCCACACACACGACAGGGGAAGGGAGGGTGAAGGAATGCCTCAATTGACCAGAGCTGAGCATGCTTTAGGAGCGCCCTGGTCTGGCGAAATTCACACCTGTGCAGGGCCATGCCCACCATAAGCCTTACAATGGAGCAGGCTGTGAGAGCGCTTTATGCTGTCCCTCTGCACAGGGGTGGAGTTCTCTGCTGGTGGGCATTGCCCTAGACAACCTAGCTGCGTGCAGAGTTAGATAACTTCTCCATTGCAGAACTACTCCCAAGGGCAGCAATGCATAAGCAAGTCAGATCAGGCCCTAGGGAAGGTACTGGCAGATTCTGTTTGCACAAGGCCTGCGGGATTGACTCCCCCTGCCCCCAGCATTCCTACAGCTGAACCCCTGCCAGCCCCGGGACATTCGCTAAGCCTTTGCCCTGCGGGATATCAGGACCTCATGACACAGCCTGGTGAGTGCAAAAATCAAACAATGAGGCACGATCTGTGGCATCACAGTGGGATGTCGTTTAAGGAGGGCAGGAGAGAAAACTGCCCTCCAAGCCCAGGGCTCGCTCTCAGGAGGACAAGGGCAAACCGTCACAATTTGGCTACCATCAGGATTATAAAAGCTTTCCCGTCCCCCTCACTATTTAGAAGGAGCCTCTCAGCAGCCTGCAGCGGAGCCAGGGGTCTGTCATCCCTCCTTGGATGTGCACTCAAGTTTGTTTTCATAGGGCTGTCATGAGCCGATTCAGGCAGGTACCTCCAGGTGTGTCAGATGCCTCCTCACCTCCCTGCAGGCGAGCTGCTGAGAGGTTGCTACTCTCCTTCCCGCACAGGTGGGCATAGACTTGACTCTAGCAACCAAAACACTGCTGAGCCAAGATGTAGGGGGAGACAACTGTGCCAGGAGAAGGGATGACTCTGCTCACTGCCCTTATAGGTCAAGCAGGTTCAGGCATTTGTCCTGTTCGTTCTTGCCAACTTGATCAGTTGGGAGGAAGGCAGGACTTGGGGGAGCAGTGACACCAGCCCTCGCCTCACACAGGGAGGGGGTCTCAGGTGAGCAGCTCATGCCAGGGAGACTCATGTCTACCCCACACAATGTCCCCTTTTCCCTTGAGGAAATATGGTTTCCGTAAGGAGGAACAGACTTGTGACTCTGCTTCCGGAGCAACTCAGCCACCCCTGGCACTTCAGATGGGTTGCAAAGTGCCAGTCAAAGTGCTGGGCGCGGGAATGCACTTGTAATTGGCAGGAAGAAAAGAAACATGGAGGAATTTGTTTGGAAATGGCCTCTAGATGGAGTTCCACGAAGCCTGCAAACAGATCTTTAAAAAGTAGGTCACATTTCCGCCCTACCCTTGCACAGCACCACGTTGCTCATATTTCAGCGCCTACGGTCAACATTACCCCACCAGTCCTCCGAGAATCAAATCCAGATGGATTGGCTGGGAGTCAGACTCTGTTCTCAATTAATATGAAAAAGTGACTGAGGGCAGTTTTTTAAAATGAGGGCAGTGAACGGGGAAACTGCAAAATACAAAATAATGTAAAACATTTTTTTTAATTTTCCAATAATCCTTTAAACTCTATGGAAAGTCCTGCGGCACACAGATTGGACCTCCCTGGTCAAGTGCCCTTGTGACCTGAGCGGTCCTGAACCAGGGAGTTTGCCAGACCAGGAGAGATCAGGCTCCCCTCCCAGCAATTGGCCCTGCTCCTGGGTACCAGCCCTGGCCACTGGGCTGCAGTCCCCACTGTGCTAGCCCCAACCAGGGCCGCACTCCCAGCCGCTGGCCCCGTCCTGTTCCCGTCACTAGGCCCCTCACCCTGGCTGGCCCCCACTACCAGCTGCCAAGATTCTTTCTGGCCCAGCAGTATCCAGAGTCCAGTAGGATGTTGCTGATCAGAAAGTCCCAGATTTTAGAGGTTCAACCTGTACAACAGAGTGATAAAAGAACCCAACACAATGACTTTTTGGGCAAAAGGGGGCATTTGTTCTATTTGCTCTTGCCAACTTGATCAATGGGAGGGGAGGGTGGCAGGGCTCAGGCAAGCAGTGACACCAGTCCTAGTTTCACACAGGGAAGTGTCTTGGGTGAGTGGCTCAGGCCAGACCACATAGGGGGAGGACAGGGTGCTTGGGTGTAGCCCCATGTGATGTCCTCTTTTCCCTTTAAGAAATATGGTCACTCTAAGGCCAGGTCTGCACTCGATCGGGAAGGTCGGCTTAAGGCATGCAACTCCAATTACCTAAAACCAAGCTTGGCGTCGTTCCCACAGTGGGAGGCCGACAGGAGTAAACGTTCCCGTCGGCTTCCCTTACTCCTCGTGACTTCACAGAGAACAGATGCCAGCTTGAGCTGCCCTCAGCATCTGATTTACTAGGCCCGCTAAGTCAAATGCCAGAATGTCGATCTCTGGCGTGGTGTTAAGAAAGGACTGACTTGTGACTGCTTCTGGACAGAGTCACAAGCAGAGTCCTAACCGTGACCCATGACGAGAACTCCTGAGTGCTACGGGAATACAAATAAATAAATAATAATAATAGAGGTTTTTGGACCTATCTGATATAATTTAATAGAGAATTACTGGTTTGATCCCAGGCCCATTAAAGTCAAGAGCACAACTTTCCATGATTTTCGTAGTGCAGAATCTATTCGTTCCTCTTGGAGATCCCTCCAGAATGCTAGTCTCTGTTCAGTTCTGTAGGCAGGGTTCTGCTCTCACACCCGAGTCACTCTGCTGTAACTTTAGAGACTTCTTGGGAGTTGGTTCCCGATAAGAATCAGGTTCTGGGTACACTAAGCTCGCTTTGTACAGATCCCCATTACATTTCTATAAAATCCAAAGCAGCTGCACCACAGCAGCACTTGAGTGAAGACACTACTACACGGACAGATTTCTCCCACTGGCGTAGGTAATCCACCTTTTAGCTAGGTGGGTGAAGAAGCTCTCCCATTGATCTACTGCTGTCTACATGGGGGGTTAGACTGGTATAACTACACTGCTCAGGGGCATGGATTTTTCATACCCCCATGGAACTGTAGTGTGACGTAGACCCGGCCTCTGGATGAAATATGCCCTTGCACAGAGTCTGTGTATCATTGAGTCCCACAGATGTCCCCTTTGGAGGCACAGCCCTCATGCTAGCCCAGAGTGGTGGGATGAATTCTACCTCACACATGACTTTTCCACACCCAGTACTCTGCAGTGTCATCTAAGGCCTGATCCTACAAAGGAGTGAGCTGAAAGCACTCGATGCCCTGCTGGCTGGACCCTTCGTTAGCAGCATGCTGGAATGGTCACAGGCTGTCACAACTAGGGATAGGACAAGAGCGTTAGCTACAGCCTCCCCTGTTCTGTTCCCATGAAAATCAGTGACCAAGCCTGCCCTGCTTTAGTGGCAACAGGATCAGGTGCTGAAGAATGAGCTTGTGTTGAGCTAAGAGGGCCACTGGCATCGGCATCATCTAGACACACTGATCTGCTGAACAATGAAAGAACACGCGCCGAGGTCCTGCGGCCAGCTTCAGCAGTGAATAATCTACAGGGACCTTCCCGCATCCAGAGAAGAACGCCACCATGTACTTACGCTACGTTACAGGTATAAGAACTTCAACTCAGAATGACTGTATTGTTATTACGTCCTTGACTGGATGCCTTGTGCTGAATCAGGCTATTGCTCCTTGACTGTAACCACCTAAGGCACAAAACAATCCTAATCCACCCCTCTGAAGAGCTGGAGATGTCGCTATGGACTCAGTTTTCCTCTCATCTTCCCTGTACACCCCAGGATTCCTCTCCCCGTTAGAAATGAATGGTACCCCTCTCCCGATCATGCCTCGGTCCTGGTTTTGTTGCTCTTGGCTTCTCGCCTCAGTTCCTCAGTCTGACAGGCTGTAAACGGCAGCGCGGATACACAACATCCTGCTTTGCTGAGGACAAGGCTCCCTTGAGACGCATGCTGCTTTCATGGCCAGCAGGGGGCATCAGGGTTCATTCACATCAATCCTCTGAGGCAAATGTGTTACTACCCCAAGTGCCTCCGCTATAGACATCCAATCAACAACAGGGCAGGTTAGTTTGCCGCTAGCATTAAGGCCAGTGTGTTCTGAGGAGGATCCCCAATTCTGAACTCCCTCTAGCCCCAAGCATGGCCACGGCCACATCTCCACAGTCAGATGGTCGTAAGTGCAGCTTACAAAGGAAAACCCCCACTGGCCCACCACCTAACAGTAAGGAGCGAAGGATGCCAACCTAGACGGAGGTCTACATCTCAGAATGCAAAGCTCAGTGGGTCTATTTTTTCACCCTCCCCCCCACTTCCTTTTATGTTCCACCTGCATGTCCCCTAACCCTCTGCAAGGGCCTAGAGACTGCAGGTCATGAAAGGATGTCTCAGCAGGTCCTCTGCTGTAGGCCGCCGCTTCTCCTCCACAAAGATCTGCTTGAGGAAGTTGCGGCAGCAGTCCGAGACGCCGTCCGGGAGCTGGGGTTTGGTCGGCTGAGTGGCTATTTTGAAAATGGCCGCCATGGCTTCAAATTCTGCCCAGGGTGGCTTTTCTGTTAACATCTCCACTACAGTACAGCCCACGCTCCTGCAGCAGAGAACAGGGAGAGCAAGAGGATTAGAAGACAGACTGTTCATCCAGACATTTTGCTGGCTCATTCCCTACCCCTTTCACCCCAAACTATTCCCTAGATTTCAAATTCACTATATTCAGGGCTATACAGATAAAACAGACCACTTTGGAAATGGAAGTCCTCTAGTTAGGTGAATTAGGTGCCAGAGAGTCAGCACAAATCCCACATATCTAAGTCCCAGTGGGATGTAACAACACAACCCAATACATGTTCTGCGATACAGATTCTGCTGTAAGATTTACCCCTTGCTGCAGAATTTGCTCCACACTTTCAGCTGTCATTTTGAAACTATGTTTCTAGCCCTTAAGGTTGCACAGATAGATGGGAAGCACACTGTCAAGGAAAAGAGATACAATGATGTATTTGCAGAGAGCCTGAAACAATAGCTTTGAGAAATGTGAATTGTTTTGTGCATTTTAACCTATTGTTAACTCCAACATTTAAAGTTGACAATCTGTGCTATGCTGAAATCTAGAACTGGGACAAAACGTAAAATCAATTGAATGTAAAAAATAAATCCAAGGCAGTTGTAGTGATTGCACTGTTCAACTTCACAGTTAATTCACTCAACCCTCCAATTTTAAAACTGACACGGGATTGCCACCAAAGTGCTGCAGCATCTCCTTATCTCCAATACCTACGCGGTCCTCAACAGTGCAGTATCTGAGTACCTCACGCTCTTTAATTCAGTTAGCCTCATCTCCCCCAAGAGGTAGTGCAGTGTTACTTCTTCATTTTACAGCTGGTGCACTGAGGTCCAGGGTGTTGCTCTGCTAGGCACTGCCAGGCCTAAGTTACTGAGATGGCTAAGGTTTTTTTCTACACTACCACTTTTGCCAGTGTAACTTATGTTATGTTGCTCAGGGGTGTGAAAAAACACCTCCCTTAGGCTGTGTCCAGACTCCATGCCTCCGTCGACGGAGGCATGTAGATTAGCCAGATCGG